TCTTTAAGTTTATATTGTGAAGAATACAATTGCCTATCTAACAGGACAGTCTCTTTAAGTTAATATTGTGAAGAATACAATTGCCTATCTAACATTTGCTTTCCTATTTGATTTGAAAATACTATTGGGTGTGAAAACCCCACAATAATTCCACGTAATGATATTAAATTTTCAGGTTTATGATATGTTATTTCCCTATATGTATGTGAAACTATTCTACCCGCGAATTGGCGATAAAATAAAAATAAAAATCCCCAAAATATATACAGGGTGTCTCCGTAGTTAATGCCAGAGCCTCAATACTGAACAAAATGGGGTTCTGGCAATGATCTCTATTTTCTCTTGATGACCGAGGATTACTCCTGAACCCCCTGACCGATTTGCTTCAATTATTGATTGGACGACTACGTTGAGTTGACTTGAAAAACTTCAGAAAAAGCTGGGTGTCCAGGGTAGTATAATATATAATGTATGGAAAGGAAGGAATATTATTATTATATTACTATTGCTTGGTAAACTTAATTAGGGTGAGAAGTCAACTCGGTCTTTACATGCATATATATTTTATGTATATCAAAGACTTTTAAATAAAAGACGTCTTCAAAAATCATTAGAATATATAAATGTTGGAGCACACACTTTGCTGTTTCATAGTTTGAAATATCTAAGGATTGTAAAGATATAGCTGGATTAAAAAATCTAATTTTGTGACAAAGACTCAATTCCTTAGAAGTTTTGTATTGTATGTCTTGTATAAAAAGTCGTTGGTTGACATTTATATAAAAACAGGGAATGTGNTGGTTTGTTTATTTACCTGGGGAAATATATCTGGTTTGTTTATTTACCTGGGGAAATATATCTGGTTTGTCTATTTACCTGGGAATACATAAATATATCTGGTTATTTTATTTACCTGGGGAAATATATCTGGTTTGTTTATTTACCTGGGGAAATATATCTGGTTTGTTTATTTACCTGGGGAAATAAATCTGGTTTGTCTATTTACCTGGGGAAACATAAATATATCTGGTTTGTTTAGTTACCTTGGGAAACATAAATATATCTGGTTATTTTATTTACCTGGGGAAATATATCTGGTTTGTTTATTTACCTGGGGAAATATATCTGGTTAGTTTATTTACCTGGGGAAATATATTTTGTTAGTTTACTTACCTGGGGAAATATATTTTGTTAGGTTATTTACCTGGGGAAATATATCTGGTTTGTTTATTTACCTGGGGAAATATATCTGGTTTGTTTATTTACCTGGGGAAATATATTTTGTTAGTTTATTTACCTGGGAAAATATATCTGGTTAGTTTATTTACCTGGGGAAAACATAGATCATAGGATCTATCCGATCCTCTTGATCTCTGTCTGCGAAGGACATCACTTCAATCCCGTAGGTGAAGAAGGTTCCATCAAAGAACCTGTCCAGGAGAAACATTTGTCCTAAACAGGGGTTCTTACAGTATGTACAGTTCATTTTGTATTGTACACATAGTACATACAGTACATCAGATAAGTACATACAAAGCACATTCAGGACATACAGTATGTACAATATTCATACCACATTATACAGTACAAATTTACATATTTGTTTTTTTTTATCGTCCACACCTTTTATTCAATACGAGGCTTTCCTAAAATAACTTTATCTTTTAACTGTTGCTCTGAATGTCGGTCAATTAAAATCATTTTCAAATTTTGGCGATTTTTTTTTCGAATTGGCGCATTTTCCAAAAAAATCCAATTATTTTCCAGGATTTTTCTTCCAATTTTGATGTTCTATAAACCTTCCCCGGGTTCATATGAGGTCTCATATAAAATTTTGGTTACAAATAAACAAACAATCTGACGAGCAAAGTATATATAAAGATTCATAGTCTATAGTTACTTTTTTATGTAAACAGCTAATAAAAAAATGTGTCCTAGATCTTTGCGTGATCCAAACCAGTCCGAGTATTCAGCGGTCAAGAGAATTTGCACTAAATACACATTTATTTACACCATCTTCAAAATTTTTGATTCAAAATTTATTAAAACTTTAGTTTTCTTTAATTGGCTTTATAGCGCAAAAAGTAAATGTTGTTATGATCTGAATTCTTCTGCATTAAACTACTCTTCACAAATGACGTGTAAATTAGGGCTTTTGTAAATTTTTCCGCAGTTGTCATGCTATTTGGCCTTGGCACTGTGTATCTGTGTATCTGTGTATCTATGTATCTCTGTATCTGTGTATCTGTGTATCTGTATATCTGTGTATCTGTGTGTCTGTGTATCTGTGTATCTGTGTATCTGTGTATAGTAGAATTTTAGTCCTTTTGTCCAGGTTTATGCATTAGGTATAAACAGAGGGATTTTCCATGTAATTCCCAGTGTCACTACATTTAAAGAGTCGGAGCCCGATTCTTAACTGTATCCAATAAACCTTTGTCTGAGCAAAAGTTACAGAGATATCCTTATTTTTATCGCTGAAAAATTATCATTCTCAAATGCAGTTTCTTTACAGCGTCTTGAAAATTTACAAAGTTTATCTTAATTCATGACAAAAAAAACGTTGTACATCGGCATATCAATCTTAATTCTTAATCTTTGCGTTGGAACACATGAAGCAATGTGTTTTTAATGTTTAGTTTAACACTGAATTCTAAATCGTGAGATGTGATTTTAAATCTGAATCAAGTGCATGTTTATCAGAACAAGGAAAGATAGATTATCGAAAATTTCAATCAATGCAGCTTAAGAAACCTTATGATAAAATCTTTGAAATCTACCATGCCTAAACTTTATATTAAAGCGATTAAGTACCTACTTAAACGTAAATTTAAAGATATCCAACAGGATTTAACTTAATCCGTTGAACCGCAAAATATCTAGACTATGCATACTATTGAATGGATTAAAGATCCAAAAGTTCAGAGCTCTGGTGTAACTAAAACTAATCCAACAGTAAGTTTTGACGCATAAACATTATTATAAATTGGTTGGAAACATGATAAATCTCCCGAACTGTCCCTTGCTTGGTTTGTCGGAGAAATGTTGTGTATGATAAACGTTCTGAATATGTCGATTTATCCTTGTTTGATGTTTACTGCGGTGTCACTATCAGGGTATATACCATAGCACACACATTGGATACATGAATCAGATTCAGATATTCAGATATACATCCTTTAATCTGGATACATGGATACATTGATACACAACCTATCGTGGATATACGGATCAGATTCAGATATACATTCTTTAATCTGGATACATGAATACATTGATACACAACCTATCCTGGATATACGGATCAGATTCAGATATACATCCTTTAATCTGGATACATGGATACATTGATACACAACCTATCCTGGATATACGGATCAGATTCAGAAATACATCCTTTAATCTGGATATATGGATACATTGATACACAACCTATCCTGGATTTACGGATCAGATTCAGATATACATCATTTAATCAGGATACATGGATACATTGATACACAACCCATCCTGGATATACGGATCAGATTCAGATATACATCCTTTAATCTGGATACATGGATACACAGCCTAGCCTGAATATACGGATAAATAACCTAGCCTGAATATACGGATACACAACCTAGCAAGAGTATACTTCCAAAATGAAGT